CCTCCTTCTGAGCTGTATCATACTGACTCCACAGTGAGTTTTGGCTCTCACTCCAGTCATGGTGCCACACTTGATCCTTTGAGAGGCAGGAGGCCATCTCCGGGCAGAGACAGGGGCTGGCCAGGGGTCCTCCCTCCCCAGCCTGACCCTCCAGGCAGGGCAAGAGCCTAAGCACTTAAATGAGAAGGTCAGCATTTGCTCTAAGAACCGAGATGTTCCTTGGTTATAACTACGTTGAAGAGCTTCATGTTTTTCAGTTAAGAGTCATGACGTTTGCACAATCATCTTTGAGAGGAATATAATAATAAGACCAGAGTGTAACACAAAAACAGCTGCAAAGGCTCTAAACCACAAACAGGTCATCTTCGCTAACCCCAAGGAGGGAAGAAAAAGCACTTTTGGCGGTATTACAGTAAATTAATTACCATGTTCTACTCCCTCAACTTCATTTAAAAAAAAGAATTCTTTCCGGAACTGCTGCATACTCAATGTAGAGGTTGTGAGCTTGAACACTCCATGTTGATGAGACACAAGATATAATGTGCTGAATGTTAAGGGCACTCTGCAGAAACTTCTACGAATGGTTTAAGAGATAAAACTCGGTTTTCACATTAACATGTCTTACATTATTGGCAGTGTTACATATAACCCCTTTTCACAAATCCATTTGGATTTAAACGTTTTCCACTCACACACAGCTCCACATGAAGAACCTGAAAATTAAACCTACCAGTCAAGCTATAGGCAGAAGGGAAACCTATCTAGTTAATCATTAACAGCCAAGATGAAATATAGAAAATAAAGCCAACATGCACTCCAGATCTTACATAAACATTCAGCTATATTTTAAGTTAGTCACTTGACACTTTTTTTAAAAAACTAAGAATCATGCATTTTGTTAACTTTCCAAAATGGTTACATGCAGAGCCACAGCTGCTGTCTCTCCTCTGAATTCAATATAGCACCAACAGCTTCTAGCAGCTATGGATCCACTTATGAGGCCTTGACTCAGCAGAAATGTAAACATGGAATTTATTTTAAATATATGCATAATTATTCTGCTGACTCAGGTTAGCTGGGCTAACTTCTGATGTCCAATGTTTGTCTGAAAACAAAGAGCAATTTAGTAGATCTATGCAGTTCTATGCATGACGTTGCTTCATCTGTTCAGACAAGAGCTAAGTTTCAACACTGGGGAGGGCAGCACGTCCTGTGGGCCTGTCCCCCTTGGGAGCAAGGGGTAAGAACAAGGATGCACCTTGAGGATCACCACGACATCCCCAGGGACTGCATGCATCTGGGAGGTGCACCAGGATCCTATTCAGACTACATGTATTTGGACTTCATATGGATTATTTTTTTTTTTACAAGACAACAAAAAGAACAAAAATTACCCCTGTAAGGTCTTGTGAAATGCAAGACCTTCATTTACATGTAGATCATAGAATCATAGAATGGTTAGAGTTGGAAGGGACCTTAAAGATCATCTAGTTCCAACCCCCCTGCCATGGACAGGAACACCTCCACTAGAGCAGGTTGCTCAAAGCCCCATCCAGCCTGGTCTTGAACACCTCCAGGGATGGGGCAATGGTGTCATTTTACCAGACATACTCCAGCAAACTTCCAAAAAGGGTCCCTTTTTGGCGTTGTTTGGAAACCTTGGCATTTTCTCTGTTACTTCAAGCTTTGGAAACACCTTTACTGTAATTAACACACCTACTCTGCAAACTTACTTTCTAATAAATGATCTTAAATGCCTGGCCTGAGCTTTCAACTTGGCCGGATGGAACCAGAACAGAGACCGTGCAGAGGGCAGAGAAGAGGCAAACCCCAGTGTATTCAGCCCCTCAGCACTAAGGTGGGCTGCCCAACCAGCCAGGACAAGCCACGCAGCCCATGGCCCTCTCTCCCAAACGCCCTGGAGATGCAGGCAAGGAGCAAGGAGCAGGGAGCTGCCAGGCATGCTGCAGCCACGGCTACAGAGGGAGCCTCTGCAGCCCCGTGAGCAGGGAGAGAGGACACCACTGCCATGACGGGAATGAGAAAAGTAGAGGGCTTTATTTTTGTTCCTAGATCTGAAGCTGCCCAAAGAAGAAGAAAACCACTTTCCCATCCAGTCACAGCAGAGGAAGCTTGAAGGACGGTTTTAGCAGCATGCACCATATTAAAGCAAATCCAGAATTCAGCAAACATCTCACTTGCCCACAGATGATCATAAGGTTAATTCAAAAATATTCTTACAAGCACTAGGAAGGGAATGAATTGGTTGTTTTAGAGCTCCCATAGGTGAGTCAGTAACTTTACAGAAAAATCTAAGGGACAGGTCCTGCTTGAGGAAGAACAGAACAAAAAAAAGTCTGAGCAACAGGGGAACAGGAGAGTGGAAGACACAGGAGGAGGTTCATGCACTCAGCCACATGCCTGCCAGGACAGTTTCATCCAAGAGTTCCCCTGCCCACAGTTCAAACCTCCTTTGTGACCTAAAGTAGAATTACTTCTGCAGCTTTATCGTTTTATAAATAAACACCTTCTTGATTTTTTTTTCTCTCTCAGTGACAGCAACATACTTCACCACGCAGCACATTAAACAGATCTATCCAGGTAGGTACATACAAAAAAGTTTTCATAACAACATTTGACATTGCACTCAGACTGATGCTTTATTCCTTTAAGGCAAAGAGGGGAAAAAGCATCTGCTACTTTTTTTTCATTCTATATTTAAAAGCTGTAGATAACTTGCACGAAGACAGGGTGAACTTCCTCCCACCTCCCGCCCACTCATGATGGGAACCCACAGGGCCAGCAGCTTTGGGCATCCCTTCTCACATCCATACAAGCCTCAAAACCTCACTGCATCTCTCCTCCCCAGGGGCCAGGAGAACAACTCTCAGCTCCTCAAAAATATTGCAGCTCCTCCTTTCCCCCTGTACTGGCTGCTCAGGAGCCTTCATGGCTTCTGCCTTCCCTGTACATGTCCCTCTGCAACCAGCCTGAACCCCACCTCAGTCCCATTGGGTTTGTGCTTTGGACCCAAACACCCTGTGTGAGACAGCAGTTCAGAGGGATACAGCACAGAAATACAGCAGGTTCATGGACAACTCCAGAAGCATGTCATAACAGAAAAACTAATCAAGGGAATGACATTAAAAAAAAAAAAAGAAGAAAAAAAGATTTCAGTCATAGCATGGCTGCTATAAAAATGGTAGCAAAATGAGGGCTGTTCCATTCCCTGTTCAAAGATGTTTAATCCTGAAGGAGGACAAGACACCGGTGTGCTGACCCTTGTTACTAGACATGGCCCATATTTCGGGAGGGAGATATGAACTCAGAAAATCCAGGGAGAAAGTTCACTTGCTTTAACCACTGCTGACAGACACCCATGGTGGCATCTGCAGTACAATAACAGCGGGATTTTTTTCCAGAAGCCTTTACGTGCTTCGCTTTCCTCTTCCCACCTTATAGAAAATGCTGTCTCCTCCTCCAAGATTGCAGACTGATTTATTCAATGCTCAGAAGCAGGATAAAAGGGAGATGGAGCCAGATAGCTGTTACTTCAGTGAAGCAGGTTCAAAAAATGGCTCCTTCTTCCCAGATCACGGAGATGCTTTTCTCAGCTCTCACCTACCATGCACTGAGTTTGTATCACGCAGGGACAAGAAGCAATGAGACCAGAAAAGGGGAGAAGAAAGGAAAAGAAACAGAGGGAATATCACAGACTCTCTAAAGCTGTTGTTCTGAAGTCAGACATCACACAAAATGAGAAACGTGTTTACGCATCACCCAAAAATAATATCACAAAAAACTGTGTTCCCCTAAAGGCAACCATTGGGATTTAAAACACAACTTTTCCATGGACAGACAGACACACAGAGCCTACTGAGCTAAGCTCCCTCTTGCTGACTTCCACCTCTCTCTCCCTCCCTCATTCCTCAGATAAAGTCAGCTAAAACTCAGGAGCAGTTTTCCAGTCATGTGGCTTTCCACCAGCGTAATTATTGACTCACCTATTAGGAAGGACAGTTTGAGACAGCTCATCTGTTCTGGGTAACACGCAATTAAAAAAGTTAAAGAAACTCCCCGCCTCAGCATTTATTTTGCTTGTCCCTGGGCTCACAGTTTTGAGGCAGAAGGAGAAGCACAAGTTGCAACCTGCAGGCTGGGAGCTGCTCAGAGCACACTTCCTACCCGGCTGGGAAGCGCCCAGTGCCGGGAAAGGGAACCAGAAAGTCTGCTTCTGTCCAAGCTCCGGATCATCGCTCCAAAGCTTGGGGGGGTTTGCACTTGGCCAAGCAAATCCCTCAGTGATGGCAATGCTGCAGCTCTCAGTGATGCACATTTCCATTACCATGATGATGAAACTCCTGTGACAAGATGGTGGTGGGAGAGCAACAGGAGCATGAGACTCGGCTGCTAAAAAAGACAGATTGCCTTTGTGGAGAACTCCCTTTCTTTTCTTACTCATCTTTAGTTTTCTACAGTTGCCAAGCGCCCTCCCCCTGACAACAACCCATGCCACCACCTCACACTCTCTGAGGAATAATGTAAGGTTTAGGAGATTACAGGCTGTTACAAAAAAAAAAAAAAAAAGAAGAAGAAAGGTGGTAGAAAGGGAGAACAGTGAAAAATGTTAATAATTACAGAACATTTACATAATGGCTTTTTTTTCTATATTATTCCAAAAGATTCCAGAAAATTTTGCAGGTATCTGCACAAGTCATGTTATAGTGTCAACGTTTCTAACAGGAATAAGTTAGCAGCAAGAGCTCTATTTTAAAACATGATTGACTTTGTACAAACAGTTTTAAGGCTTTTGTATAAGAACATTAGACAGCAGCTTCAGAATATGATTTAAATGACACATAGTAATTGTATCCTGGTACCTACCAGGAATGCATTACAGGGGACTGAGTTATTACAATAGAAAGTCCTATTGCTGTTCAATCTTTGTCAATGAGCAGAGCACAAAAGGTTTTTAACAATATAAGTTTGGAGAAAGTTACCTTTCTTGGCCTTCTTCTGTAGCTTCAGTGTATCAGATGATTTCTTTTTTATTTCTTGGCGGGCTTTTTTGTATTCTAAAAAAACACACAGTCTCTATTATCAACACACTCAATGTTAAAATGGATGTTTTTCACAGAAAAGGCTATGTTTAGAGACATTAGACTACAAATTTTAAGAGGACAGCTACTATTAATCAAAGAGGCTTAAAACTCGCATTTTGAAGTGCCTATATGTTTGGCTTAATATAACATTTTAGGGTGTGAGCACATTCACATACCAAAATCTTTCCCAAATAAACAAAGCCTTTACAGAAATAACAACTGAGAACACAGTACAAAATTAGAGTGCTTTTCATTTCAGAGACTCATCCACTCTCAGGAATGGAAAACAGAGATGACAGGTTTCTCGAAACATCTGTGCTCAAAAACAAGTATCCAGAAACAGCAAGGCAGAGAATATCCTGTGATCCCTCTCCAGCATGAGAGTCAGGCAGAGGCAGAGGATGCTAAAACTTTGCCCAAGGAGGGGTCACATTGCCAGCTCTTTCTGATGAAGTGGAACACACTGCAGTTGTCCTCATTTTCAGATGAGCTGCATATCCCGGGAGAATTAAAATCCCAGAACAAAATATTCCACCTCTAGTCCAGGCACACTAAAGGTACCAGATATGAAAACTGATACTTTAAAAAAAAAAATAAAAGGATAAAAGGCATGTATGCATGTATATACATATACACATACACTTTAACAAAGGAGGTCAATGTTGCTACTCTTTTATAGATGGAAAAACAGAAGCAGGCTGGTGGTGGGCACAGGAATTCTACTGGGGCCAACTGCACCCCCAACACCCACGTCTACCCACTAAACCCTAAATCTCACTGTCACTTTGGCCAGGGTCACCCCTACCTGCAGGAACCCAGGTGATGCCTCCCTCCTGCTCACTACCTGCTTAACACTCTCGGGAGCACAAGGGGGAAACTTTTTCAAGAGCTGCCAATTTAGCTGCTTCTACTTGACCACAGCAAGAGTGGGGCAAGAAGCAAATCCTCTTCTGTAGGCCAAGCACACTCCTTCCCATCAGTTCTCACCCTCCCCAAAATAAACTGTGCTGATGTTGCTTCTTTCAGGTACAGAAAAATTCTACAGTTTTTGAGGGTCAGTGTTGAACTGACCACGCTAGAGGGATACCACTCCCAGTCCAAGTTTGCAAAGCCAAAGGCATCTACCAACATGCTCTTGCTGTGCAAGACTGTGCTGCCTCCTGCCCATTCCCCCAGGAAAGCCTCTAGAGGAGCCACCAGCAATTCAGCTCTGCACATCCCATGTCCAATTACACAGCTTTCCCGGCCCCCAGGTGCACATTTCTGTATCGCATCAGACATAAAATAACGATACTGAATGTTTTACAGTGCTGTGCATTCTCTGGAGAACGCTACAGCTGAGACATCCTATGGTCTTAGTGAGCTTTTAACTACACCCCAGGGCTTTGCAGGGATAGATGTGGCATCCCCAACCCTTAGCACTATTGGAGATCACACAGTGAGAGTGGGGCAAACAGAGCTAAAACCGGTCACCAGGCTAGAAAAACAACCCATCCCTTGGGGTCCTGCAAACTAAACCTTCAAAATGTATATGCAAGGGTTAAAAATTTGTTAGGCACTTTGGGAGGGGAGCGCTTTAGAGGAGAAAAGTTGTGTCCTGGTTTGAGGCACAAACCAGGACAAGTTGCTACACATATTTAAGCACGTCATTCAGTTCCCCAGTACAAACATGAAAAGAGGAAGAAAAGCTGATATTACAATCTTAGTCCTATTAAAGAATTCTTCCTCTGTAACTACCTTTTGCATGGTCTTTATCCAGTTGATTGGCCACTTTCTTCCACTCTTCCATCTGTTCTTGAAGTGGGTTTATCAGACAGTCAATTAAAGCACTAATTTTGTTGAAAAAACACAAAGAGCAATCAAATCCTGCAGATGCCCCTATTCTTATATAGAGAGCCAAGGTCAATATTGGAGTATTTTTACTTTTTGCTGCGACAGCTACCAGTGTCACAATGTAAATATCAGAACATAAAAATGTTTACGCTGGAGAAAGGAAAAGAAAGGACTGGATCAAAAAAAATCCACATCACAAGATAACCAGAATAACCGCACAGAAGTTCAGGACAGTGAGGAACAGAGTGTAAACCAGAGGAGCGTCCCAAAACAGGGCCAGTGTATACAGTTAGATCCTACTCATCTGTCACACAAAGAGCAGTTTAAATGGATACTCTGGAGACTGGAAAGGTTCATGCAGCCATAAAGATTATAAACTTAAATAACACATGTATATGCACAAGAAGACAGAGCAGTTGTACAAGCAAACAACACCCTGCCCACCGACGCGCCTCACCTCTCGCCGGTGGAGTCCATGATACAGCACTAGTAACGCTCCACTAATTACTGAGATTGGGACCAAAGCATTTAAACAACTAACTCTGGGGCAACTAGAGATTAAAGTTATCTCCTCACAGCCAATTTCACAAATATCTTTATTTTAAAAGGGAAGAAACATTCCCAGGTCATCAGACAAAGGGGAAGCATCATTTTGGTTCACCTCAAGTCAAGTATAACTTTCAAGTCTGGTTAAAAAAAGGCACACGTGCAAACTACTACTTATTTCAGAGGTAGGCTGTCTATGTATAGCCCAGCTTATGCATGAATTAATCCTCTCCCATTACTCCTCCAGTCTAACTTTAACTGCAAAAACTGGATGAGAGGATTTTTCTTTTCCATACTGGTTTGCTAAAAGTTTCCTGGCCGCAAGCTATTTGGGCTTCCCAGTAAGCTGAGGAAGCAGCACACCACTTGCTGTTGCTTTAAAGCTTAATGACAAAGTTTTAAAGTCCTGAAACAAAGAGAGGATGGTCACCATCAGCAGCTGCCTGCTCAGCACTGAGCAACAGGGACCAGCACTGGGAATTTGCAGCATTTAGAGTGATTTGAGGTGACAAGCCCAGTCCCCAGAACTGCATGTTCACAACACCTGGTGTGCTTCTGGGTGGAAAACAACTGCTGTTCTCAGAGATGAGGTGGAGAACCAATGCTGGTGAACAGCTTCAGGTGTTCCCCAGTAGCAAATGGAAGCCAGGCCGGGCAGGGAGCCACTCACCTTGAGAACTGCCGGAGTTTGGACTCTATACTTCTGTGCCTCATACACATCCTGGTGAGAGCAGACCCAATCTCTCGGGTGCCACCTGAAAAACAAAACACGAAGCAGATGAGACCCCTGATGAGATTCCCCTCTGTGGTGTGGGCATGTCAACCAGAAGGCTGGTGCCAAGTCTTCCAGAGCAACCGTAGAACAGATTCATAATAACTGTAGAATTGAAAAGACTATTAACCGGGCAGACCTCAGGGATATCTACCACCTTGGGAAGAGATTAATTCTTGTTCATCCAGAGACCAGAATTGAACAAGTAAACACAATTAAAACACAGTTCTTCCCAGCAGCTTTATGTGCCATGAGGCCCAATTCCATGGCAGAAGAGATAAAGAAAAGGGTTGGTGATGTCAAAACACAAGAAGCGAAGCTGGCAAGTGAGTGGGCATCTACAGACATTTTGAAAATAAACCTAAGGGATTCGATCCAATTTTCCCATCTCTAGATTCTTTGGACCCAATGCCTCAAAAGGATTTTGCTCCTCCAGAACATGTAACTGATCCTACACGTTGCCTCACACATCACTGGCACACACCATCGGTGAGTGTGTCCCGCACGTACCTGCCATCCCAGACCACACATGTACTTCCATGACATGGCCAGAAGGTGGCACCATGTGCCCTGTACCCTCTCTCAGCTCTGACAGCAAGAACAATTTTTCACAAGTGTTCCCCCTTCGAACCTTTCCCTTTAAAAAGCACACATTCCTCCATTTCCTACTTTGATAAGCTTATAAAATGTCAATATAATTTTGTTTTGGTTACCATTAGTTTTGATAATTGCTTAGTCCCTATTTGCAAACCAAATCTACTATTCTCAGGGTACAAACATCAGCCTCGGTCCAAGGCTTTTCCAAAAGGTTTCTCTGGAATAGCAAAGATATCAGCAGCTATTTAAAAGTCTCATTTGATTATTAAAACAACCACCGACCTGTAATATACAGTAAAATGTCTTCCTTAGTTTGTAAAAATGGTATTGCACAAGTAAAAAATATTTTCCTAGTAAAGAAACACGAAAATTTTAATAATTTCATTTATTTTTTAAGCACGAACACAAGTCACCATCTTCCTGCATTCTTGCAGAATTAAATCCTGTGCCCACAAAATGGCTCTGGAACAAAGACACTAAATAGCTGGAACAAATTGTGGCTATTTGGTATTTTCCATTGTTCAAAAAGATAAACAGAAAGTCCTTTGTCACTTGCCCAATTACTCGTGTTTTTATAAGGAGCTTTTGAAATAATATGATTTGGTAACACTGAAGAGCTGTCCCCTCGATGGGCGGCTGGGAGAAGCATACGGTGTCCAGCCTGGATCCAGCCCCACGGCTGCTGGCGATGCTGCCCTTGCCCAGCTACGATGGACTCCAGAGCAGCAACACAGACGGTGGGGAAAGGCATCACGGGCAGAAAGCAACTGGAGGAAGAGGACAGTGTCCACCACGAAAAGTGGATCTCTGTCCCAGAACACGGGCATTTTGCTTTGGAGCCATTGCCAAATCAAAGTAACTCGGAGCTTGATGCGGCTCAGCCCCAACGGCAGCGATGGGGGAACGAACCAAACACTTCCATGGCCACCACCAGCACAATTCCCAACCGAGGGTAAGCGAAATGCAGCTTTTTCAGGTTGAAAACTCATTGAAACACTGGAATATTAAGGACTGTCAATGGTTAAGCGACACTGCTCTTCTAAGCCCTTTATAAGAAAAAAGGAAGAATTGTTCCAGAACAATAAATAGGAAATAAGGCACCATGTGTTTTGGAGACAAGGAAACAAGGGTCAGTTACTATTAATATTAAACTGCAAAGAAACAACATTTTAACTGAAAACCCAATCACCAAAGTATAAATATGTCCTCTCCACACACAGTACAGATGGATGGGCAAGGTCAGCAAAACAGCTATACAAAGTTAGGTCTGTACATTGCTAGCTGTGCTTGTTTAAAAGGAAAAAACCAAACCCAACTGGTTGAGGATGAGACAGGTTACTGGTTCTTCTTTTGAAACTTCATGTCACCCATAAGTGTTTACAAGAGCATGGAAGTATGAGGTATTAATTTTATTCTGTAAATAAAGACTACTCTAACAGAACAAAGTAAAAGGGGAAAAAATGGTTTTGAGAAGTTTTTAATGCCCTTTCTGGTCAGAAACTCCTGAAGCAGCAGCTCTTGCCAACCATTCTCTGAGAAGAGTGGTCCTCAGCCCTTCCTAAGGAGCGTAAATCCCTCCTAAACAGCACTCAAACTCAACCTGCCTAAAAACAAAGTGCTGGGGAACACTATTGCTCCAAACAGCTATGGCAAGAAAGGATTCCTGTTCCTCTGCAAAACGGTAACACGCTGCAATCAATAAACTGAGTTTATTGAGAAATGAACTGAGTTTACAACACTGAATTCAGAATAAACTGAATTTAACTACTTTGGAAATGAGAATTCTGCAATACCACAAAATATCAACATAAAGCTTGCAGCAAACACGCGTCCCCTCTACAGCCCTTCCAGCCGCCCTTGCTGCTCCTCCTGCCGTGGGACCATTTAAGGAGTTCCCCAGCCTCTGGCCACAAGGCTCACCCGGCTGTTGGACGCAGACAGGAGTGAGCTTTGGTTTTATTCCTCAAAGCTTTCCCACTCGCAGCTGGCTGCCGTCTCACCGCGCACCTGGCAGCTTGGACCCACGGAGCATCCAGCACCAAGGGGGCAGGTGCCCACTGGAAAGCTGTTGTGTGCCAGCAGCTTCTGCCCTGGCAAAGGGGAACCCGTCTCCGTTCAACACATGCGGCGACAATAAAGCCACTATGCATTTCCAATTCCTCTTTAAAAGCTAATGTTACCAGTGTCTAATTAAATGTAGGAGAGAGAACCTCTGCAAGAGACAAGAGGCTTTTTAATTTTTTAATTTCAGCACTCACTCGATTAGCAGAGGCAGCAGCCGTGTCCAAGTGCCCCTACATACCTACCCAGGTGAGACAGCCCACGGAGGTACAGATGCACCTCCTGCAGAGCTTCTAGATGTTGAAATAGCAGCAGAAGCACCATTTTGGAAAGAATCACTTCCCTGGATATGCCTAAACAATCTGCATTTTGGGGACGCCTCAGCAATCCCTTGTTAAAAATCTGCCATCAGACTGAAAGCAGGACAATAGCAGCCCATCTCCTCCCACGCCTGAATCTTACTGCTCCTCCTTAATGTATTAAGTGTTCCAATCTCACTGGAGTTAAACAGAGCTTTAGCTCCCTGTTCCCATCCATATTACCTGTGATGAATCAAAATGCTTCCTGAGAAGGCAAAAAACCCTTAAATACAGGTCTCTTGCCACCCCTTGATTTATTGAGTTGGAGCACCATGGCCATGGTGCAGTGCCTTCCAGGAACACGTGCGGTGCAAAGGGTTTATCCCAACTGCAAAGGCTGGTTCCCACCAGCAGAACTGCCTTGATGCTCCTGTTTCCAAAGGGATCAGCTGGCTACACAAACTGGCAGAGGGGAACCATTTTGTGCCACTGCAATGGTTTGAAACCATCCAAGCATAACAATGGATTCTAGTTTACATTTACTCCTTTTACCTAATCTCAGCCAGCCAGCCTGAGCAAAGAGAGTAACATATGCTTTATATAAATGATTGTTTGATGTTATAGTAGTAGTTTACTCACAGAAGGAGCGGGTGGCCAATGTGCACATTCACAAACAGAGATGGACCTTACAAGCAACACCAACGTGTGTGCAAGTCCTGGTCCAGGCTACGCAGCTGAGCTGGTAAGAAGTTTATTGCACTGGGCTGTGCCACAGTCAGACAAAACCCACTCCAGCCTCAGTATCAATTTATTGTTTATCGAAATGGACCGATTGCCCACTTACACAAGGACAGAGCCATAAGCGGTCAGAAGACCAAGTGGAGGTAACTCCTTTTTTAGCGCTATCAACAATCAGACTTGGTGGCAAAAAGAGCACCTGAAACAGCAGTGCACCCGGAGATGCCAAAGCATCGCCTGTCTCCACTTCGTTACAAGCAGGTCCCTGGGAAAAAGTCCTTACATTCTCTAGTAGCTGTCATTCCTGAAGAGAAATACTGAGGCCACGTTAGCAAACTTTTCATCCAACCAAGGGTATGGTGGGTGGGTGACCTGGCCTCCATTCACTGCTCTGCAGTTATGCAAGTTAAACTGCGGTGCTTTGGGCTCCCGGTTTATAAAATGAGGCAGTGAATTATCTGCTGCTCTGACATACTACAGTTATTCAGCCATTAAGGCAAACAATGCTTGGGAGTGGTGTAAAGTAATACTTCGAAACCGGAGACGAGAGCCATATTCATCAGAATTCCCACTCAGAGAAAGTGGCTTAACAAAATGCTCCTGTCAAATTCGATTAGAAAGTGGGTGATAACATCAGCCTTATTTCTCATAAGTAAAAGGCAACTCTGCAAGGCAAAACGTGCTTTCGCTCTCACCTTCCCCTGCTCCTGCCTAAGCCTGCAAAAGACCAAAAACCTTTTTCATGTAAGATAATTCAATGAAAGCCTGTGGATCACGACACTACAATGAGTCCACTATAAAGGCATAAATGATTTTCTTTCGACGCTTGCTTGTCATTCAACATGGCAGAGAGACAACAGGGAGAGGCTGTAGGAAAGAGACTCAATTGTTTTATTGGAGTCATTATGTTTGTATTTAATAATGCTCATATATCAAGGAAATGATTATTTGATGAAATGTGCAGCTGTACAACTGCACGGCCTCTGTATACTCCAAACAACCCACTACAATCAACCTCTTATCTTCCTCCTCTCACTTCACTGTTGAGCAACCCCAGAAGGCTCAGAAGACGACTGCCTTTCAGGAACTGCCTTTAAGGCTCCAACTTACTAACGAGCTCATCTTTATCTTCAAGGGCAGAGCCCAATGTGCCAGCGACTTCCCTCTTTCTCAAACAGGAGAAAATGATGAAAAATGGGTGTAATATTTTTGTAATTTCAAAGTTATCAGAAGAGGCTTCCATTTTCGAGCAAAGATTAAAGCAGGAGCGGAACAGAGGCTGGATTAT